AAAAAAAAAAGTGAAAAATAGCACACATACACTCTTCATTGGTAATTCCTATGACTACTTCATTAACAAAGAATTTGTTTGGTACTCTGTGATAAATAAGAATCCTTAATACTTTTAAGTAGGGCCAAGGAATTGATACTGTGACATTTATAAGAAGAGAGAGAAAGGGAAACAGACACTTAAAGGTGAAATGAAAAAAAAAGATGGTAATACAAGGTCTTCTTTTTCTTCTATCTAAAAAATAAATGTTAAAGAACTTTCTAAGATAACAGCAGGAATCTTAGGACGACCTTCAGAACGTTTAATGTATTAATCCAGTTATTGAGATCTTCTAAAACCAAAAAAGAAAACTTAATTTTAGCTCTCAATGCACTAAAATTGAGTCTTTGTTTCCTTTACTGACTTTGCTCAGAAATAACATCACATTTGCTTTCGAAATATAAAATTTTCTTCAGAAAAGTAAAGACTCTACCTTCAAAATAGCACAAGTATAGTAGGCACCAGAAAGGAATAGAGAAGGTAAACTGAGGTTTGACATGTTGAGGACTATAGAGAGGAAACATAGCATGCATTCAGTAGTGAAACATTTATAGAGCTCTCATGTACCAGTTATGTGCTAATCCTGGGGGAATAACCAAAATAAAAATCCGATACTCACAAGTGATTCACTCAATAAATATACATTCAATGAATATATGGCTACTATATGCCAAGGAATCGAGTCTGGTGTGGTGCTGTAGAATCAGCACTAGACTGCTAACCACAAACTTAGTGGTTCAGACCTACCCACCACTCCTTGGAAACCCAATACAGGGTCACTGTGAATGAGAACTAACTTGACAGCACTTAACAACAACAAAATATGCCAAGGCCAGTGCTATACCCTGGAGATTCACTGATGAGTAAACTATCATAAAGAACAGAGATGGTCAAGAGCCAAATCCAGTCAGTGTTAGTACAACCTATGAGTTAAGAACAATGTTAATATCATTAAAGGATTGTTAAGAAAACAAAAAACAAAAATATGAGTACGATATAGGCATGTTTTAACCTGCAAATTCTAGAATATTTACTATCCTGCCCTTTATAGAGAACGTTAGCCACTTTTAAACAACAAAGCCAAACCAAATGGTCAATATGTACACAAAAGTATAGGCGAGTGGCAGGGAAATTGGATGGATGTAAACGAGGCAGATAGAGTGGGAATGGGGAGTGCTGACACATTACAGGATTGTAACCAAAGTCACCCAACAATCTGTGTATGAATGGTTGAACAGGGTTCTAATTTGCTATATAAGCTTGTACCTAAACATACACACACACGTTAGTCAATCCCTGGCTTAATGATGAGTAACTGAAAACAGGGTAGTTATTGCTATGGTAGGAGTAAGCCAGGATGCCATAAGAACAGAAAAAGTACTGTATTCAGCCACGCAGAAAGTTAAAGATTTATAATTGCCTGAAAGAGATGTGAAAGCTAGGCAAAAAAGAAGAAGTAAATGTAAATGTAAGCAAGGTAAAAGTGGAGTCAAGGCAGAATGGCACAGGGAGAAGCACATTCAAAGGACAGTAGATTAAAAAAGTTTGGCAAATTTGGAAATTGCAAACACTTTATAGGATTCTGAATTTCTCAAAATACTAAAATTTCAAAATAAATCTGGAAACAACAACAAAAAAAACAACAACCCACATTTTTACTCTGATATGTAAGGCCATTAAGAAAAAATATACATATACTTACATAAACTTACAATTATAATGCAACTACTTTTTTCACAAAAGATACCAAAAAATAAAAACAAACGCTCTCAGGATTTAAAACTGAGTAAAATTAGATTTATAGAACAACTTAGCTATACATTCCTGTCTGTCTCACTTGACTGAGAACCAAAGAAAGCTTGGTGACAGACAACCTGAGAGTTGTATGATATCATTTTCTGTATGTTACATCCCCCAAAATAACTTCAAACTAATAACCACAGACTTATAACAATTTAGGGTACAAACCAAAGCAACATAAGGCCTCATTTCCCATGCCTGTAAGTTTGTATTATCTATTATTACAGGAGATACTTTCTTCTCAAATGCTTCTTTTGCTGAAAAACACAAATAAACAAAAAATTTAAAAATCACTTTAATAGCAACATTATCTAGATTTTTTTAGTAAGTTTCACCTTGATTTCATAACTTAAAATCCACAGGCATATGATAATTTGAATCACTGGTCTACATTTGGAGGCAAAAAAATGTTAAATATATGTTAAATGTGATACATTAAATGTTAAAAGTTTTATGATAATAAAAAATTAAATGAGAACTAGATGGTCTAAGTTTGTGTGTGTGTTATATATATATATACAGCAATCACAAGAAAAAAATATTATTTCAGAGCAGAACTATACTCCATAGTGCTCAATGGCTATAATCTTATGGAAGGATATTGCCAGGTCTTTCTTCCAAGAAACCTCTGGATGGATTCACACCACCAACCTTTAGATGAACAGCCAAGCAATTAGCCATTTGTGCCACCCAGGGTTATTACATATATAAATACCATAAAGTGAAAAATAAATTATCATTATAAATGGTAACATTTAAAAGCAATGTGGTATATCCTGGATTAGACACTGAACTAATGGACTTTAGTGCAAAAACTGGTGAGACCCAAATAGAGACTACAGTTTACTTAATAGTAATGCACCAATGCTAATTTCTTAGTTTTCACAAATGTACCACAGTATATAAAACATTAACATTAGAGGAAAATGGGTGAAAGACATATAGAAACTCTTTGTACTATCTTTGCAGCTTAAGTATTAATCTAAAGAAAAAAAAAAGTTATAATGATTTGAAATACAGAAACATTATGATACAGTGTTATGCAAGGGATTTTCTTATATTATCTACATTATTTTCACCAAGGAATTTGACCATTCAGAAAATTAATGGTGACTACAACAAATAAATCCCACAGGGAAGTTACTTGGAAGTTTTTAAAGTTCTGTCTATTCTCTTACAACTGAATAATAAAAAAAATAATAATAATAACCCTATTTACAAATGAGCAAAGGACTAAATAAGTCTTTTTCCAAAGAAAATAAACAATTGGCCAATAATCACCTCAAAATTTATGTAATATCTTTAGCCATTAGGGTAATCCAAACCAGAGTAATACAAACCAGGTAATACAAACAATGAGATATCATTTCACAAACTCACTAGGATGGCTAGAATCAAATGACAGACAACAACTAATGTGGGAAAGGACGGAGAGAAATTGGAACTCTCATTAAATACTGATGAAAATGTAAAACAGTTAAGCAGCTTGGGAAATCAAAATGGCAGTACCTCAAATGGTTAAAAGATAATTATTATATGGCTTAGCCGTTCCACTCCTAGGTATATAACCCACGAGAAGTGAAACCACACATTAACACAATGTTCATAACAGCATTAGTCATAACATCCAGAAGAATAGAAACAATCTCAGATGTCAATAAACTAATGAATGGATAAATAAAATATAGTATATCCAAAAAAGGAAATTTTACTCAGCTATAAAAAGGAATGAGTACTGACATATGCTACAATATGGGTGATGACCCTTAAGTGAAAGAAGCCGTCACAAAAGACCACAAATCATAAGATTCTTTTTATATGCAATGACCAGAATGCACAGAAATTAGGTAAGTGGTTAAACTGTGAATTCAGTGTTGGGGCTGCTAACCACAAGTTCAGCAACTCAAACCCACCAGCCATTCTGCAGGACAAAGATGAAGCTTTCTGATCCTCTAAAGATTTAGTCTCAGAAACCCTAAGAAGCAGCTCTACTCTGTTCTACAGGGTCACTTTCCTGAATTTTCATATTCCCAGGTTTCATAGTCCTGACTTTAATTTTCAGTTCAAGAAAGAGAAGAGAAAAAATTAACAAATGCTTTGGTGGCACAATAGGTAAGTGCTCAGCTGCTAACCTGAAGGCTGTTGGTTCAAACTGACCCAGCAATTCCAGGGAAGAAAATGTTGACACCCTGCTTCTAGTAAGAGTTGGACTAGATTTGACTACAATGAGTGCGTTAGGACTTCCAGGATTAAGGACTGATGGGGAGAAATGGGGAGTGATTGGTAATAGGTTTGTGGTTTCTGTTGGGTTCATGAACTCTTATAAAATGGACTCTGATAATGATTGAATAACTCTGAATATACTAAAAATGACTGAATTACACAATTCAAATGAGCTAATTATCTTGCATGTCAGTTTTTCATCTGTCAGTTTCTCATACTGTGGTGACTTGTGAGTTGTGATTCTGGAAGCTATACCATCGGCATTTTAAGTACCACAGGGGTCACCCATGGTATACAGGTTTCAGATCAGTTTCCAGACGAAGACACTAGGAGGAAGGAGTGACGAACTACTTCTGAATATTTAGTCACTGAAAATCTTATGAGTAGCAGAGACACACTATTAGATATAGTGCCAGAAAATGAACCCCTAAAGCCAGAAGGCACTCAAAATGCAACTGGGGAAGAGCTACCTCCTCAAAGTAGAGTTCACCGAGATGATGCAAATGGAGTAAACCCCTAGGAGTAAAAGCCCATGAGACCTTCAGTTGCTAATGGGGCAAAACACAAAATGAAGAGAAACAGCTGTAAACATCCAATAATAATTAGAACATGGACTGTACAAAGTATGAATCTGGGAACATTGGAAATTGTCAAAAATTAAATTGAGAGAACAAACAAGATGGTGGATCGAGTGGAAGTGCAGGAAAGGAGCTCCTCCAAAAACAACACAGAATACCTGACCAAGCAGGCTCAGGGGATGGTCCCAGAACTCTGAACCACATATAAAGGAATATTTAGAAGGTTGGAAGACTTACAGCTGGGGGAATTTGTAGCAGAAGCAAGAAATCTATTGCTTTCTAGTCTGGGACGCTCAGCTGCTCCAAGAGCCGCCATCTTGGGTGAGACCACACTGGGGAAGGATCGGAGCGGCCACAGAGGCCTGGCAGAACCACTGAGATAAAGGTATGGACATTCTTTTCTTTTGGTAGCTGTTCATTGGTCCCTTGCTATCTGCGCACCTCCATTTTGGTGACTATAGGGGTGCCTGAGCTAGTGGGCACCCCAGCCCCACCTTTAGAGGGTTCTACTACACATGCACACAGATCTCCTTGAAATTTAAACAGACAGTTTCCAATTAAAACCAAACAGCCACAGCCGGCCCTAAACTGTTTCCAACTAGGAAAAAAGCCTGACCGGGGATTATGGAGCAGGACAAGTAGACAAAACAGGAAATACGCTGAAAATTAAATCCTAAATTACGTCAAAACAATCAACAGTGATATCTTGAAATTTCTCAGGAAGAAGAGTGAAAAGGGAAGCCCATTTCCTAATCACATTTACCTGGAGGCATTCAGAAAGCATAAAAAATACCAAAATACA